ACAGGCGAGTGGTTAAGAGTAAAGAGTCGTCTGAATTAAGTGAAATAGAAGTTCCGAAAAAAGTGGAGAGAGGTAGGGAGATACTCGTAAGAGTAGATGAAATAATGAAAGCAATGAAAAGTACGACAGCAGGTAAGGCAGCCGGATATGATAGAGAATCACTCGAAATGCTAAGGACTGGAGAGGGTGTGGTTGCAGGTCTACTGTACACCTTGTTTAATTTATGTTGGGAACTGAAGCGGGTACCGGTAGACTGGTACAAAGCCGTTATAGTCCCAATATATAAAGGTCACAGCAAGACTGTAAAAACTACCGTCGTATCAGCTTGCTCAGCATTGTGGGTAAACTGCATGCTAAGCTAACAGCTTAGCATGCAGTTTGATTGAAAGAGTTATTGAAGAAATTGATTGAAAATTTTGGGATGTGCAAGCGGGATTTAGAAAGGGGATCAAGTCTTTTCCATGCGCATGATTGCGGACAAGTTTTTGGCCAAAAACTAGAAAGTTTTTGTGCGTTCATGGACTTGGAAAGGCTTATGACAGAGTTGACAGGAACGTGTTATGGCAAACACCGAACTCATTTCAGTTGAGCGTTGGTTTGATACAGACATTAAGGTCTCTTTACTCTAGTGCTTGTGTCAGGGTCAACGAGGTCTACTCGGACTGGTTTGGCATTCAAAAAGGTGTCATACAGGGCTGTGTTTTCTGTGCTTCCCCGTGGCTATTTAAAGTATTTATGGACAGTTGTTGGCAAACTTTGAAAGTTGAAGACTGTGGGTTGAGAATAGGTGAGTTAACCGTCAAATGCCTTTTGTATGCCGATGATCAAGTCATATTTGCATCGTCGGAGACCAAGTTGCAAACTATGGTTACTTTAATGAACTGGTCATTAAAAGAAAGGGGTATGAAAATGAACTCAAGTAAGACGAAAGTGATGGTTTTTGATAGAGAAGAAAGTAAACCATTACGTGAAATAAGAATTCTCAACTGATTGACCAAGTGGATGAGTTTGTATATTTGGTATGTTTATTTAGCAGGGCTGGTAGATATGATAAGGATATAGAACGACGAGTGAACGCAGGAAATAGAGCGAATAGGGCTCTTACGGGCTATTATGAAGTGTCAGAATGTGTCAAATAAGGCACGTATGGCAATTCATAATGCTGCGTTAGTCCGTACTTTAATGTATGGTAGTGAGAGTTGGGTCTGGCAGAAGAAGCATGAGAGTAGAATAAATGCTGTAGAAATGCGGTCATTAAGGAGTATGCTGGGGCTGAATCTGAATGACAGAAAAGTGTTTTGCAAGATGACGTTGTGACCAGGATTAAGACAGGAATGCTTCGGTGGTTTGGTCATGTAAAAAGAATGAACGAGGAAAGAGTGACAAAGCAAATTTATGTTGCAGAAGTGAACGGCAGAGTCGGGAAGGGACGCCCTAGACGAAGGTTTATCGATCAAATCGGCGATACATTGAAAATGGGCCAGAATAAGAGTTACCTTAACCGATGAGCGTGTATGCATAAATATATGGATGTAAAGGAGGCGAGAGAGGTGTGTCAGGATCGCGCCAAATGGAATTCCGTAGTCTCTGCTTACCTCTCTAGGTGACAGGCGTTATTGTTTGTGTGTGATTTAAGTTAATTAAATTGATAAGTAAATTAATGATAATATATTTTGGCGAATCAAACCCAATTACTTGGTATGTTTTTAATTTTATAAAATAAACAGGAAATATTTATAAATGTATTTATTAACACATACACCTGAGATACAGGTTTATCCTAGTTCATCATCATCATCATTACAGCCCTCCTAGTTCAGGTACCTGTTATTTAGGCTATTTAAATTAAGACATTATTTAAATTTATTGTAAAGTTTATTGAAATAAAAATTATTATTATTATTTAGAACATTAAGTCTTAAATTAAAGTAAAGGCTTAATTCCGACCCTAAAAATTTATTAAATTTACTAAAAATCTGTTTAAAATTTAAAAAAAGAATTAAATAATAAAATTATATGACGATTAAAATAATAAAGATACATTTATAACTCTAATATTATAATTGGAAAATGGGTTAAAATATTTAATAAGTAATATAAGTTACATGGCGTGCTCATGCATTGCATACATTTCATTTTGTTAATATTACAAAAAAAACAATGCTTTTAATTTAAAAATTATAATTTTCCGCGTAATGATTCATTGTATAGAACTTCCGTACAATGTTTGAACCGAGTTTTTCCTTAAATTATTCGAGATCTGCAGGATATGCATTACAGTCCGACATATATAGGTAGTATTTTTTTTATAGAAATAGGGTGACAAACGAGCACACAGTCCATCTGATGGTAAGTGGTTGCTGTAGCCCATAGACATCTACATCCATCCTCGTTTGCGAATCAAAATGCAGATGCGTTGTCAGCCTTGAGGACTAAGATGGAACGCCTCTTTTCCAGTAAAAAGGGTCTCCGGTTCCCTACACTCACCATATGAAACACAGCAGTATTAAGCTGCTATTTTACGCTGGTATTCTGTGAGAGCGTGGTCCTTCCTCGGTCGAGCCGACCCATTCGTGCTACAACAATATTATAAATATAGCTGCAGCTTGACTCTACCACGTTTAAAAGTAAGGAGGTGGATCGCGACTGACTAACGAAGTACTTTAGTATATTGTAATAGTCCCATAATAAGGACGTATGATCGTAAGTACTATGCAACGATAGTAATAATATTGAAGATCTTTAAGATGGATTAAGAAAATAGCAGAGTTGGAGCTTGAAATCCCATATATGTATAAAAGACATATGAAAGAAAGGACTATGAAATAAAGCAAATATGTGTAAGGTCTCCAAAAACATAAAATTGATAGGATTGTGAAAATGATTATCGTATTGTCGCTTAGAATGCCTTATCCTGACCGAGATCGGTAAACGTGTACTCGATAACTGATATGTCCTTTGCATATCATAGTGGTAGAACCATGCTGCAGCTATATTATGGTTGTAATTGTAGCGCGAATGGATCGGCTCGACCAGGGAAGGACCAAGCTCTCACAGAATACCATCGTAAAATAGAAGCCAAATTGTATGTTTCGTACGGTAATTTGGCGTTTTAGCGCGTTGCGTTTTGATACGTCGGCTACCTTATGGATTAGGGATAGTGTGTTTGGTAGCACTTTTACGCAGAGTAGCCAGCTTTTCGGTATTCTATACCGGCGGGTCTTCATCCCTTTGTTGTCGATATTCCACGCATTAGAACCAAACGCTTTGCTTCGTCTTTTGTAATGCATACAGCAAAGGAGTAGAATAATTTGTCGGCGTCGATCTTTCCGTCCGAATACAATTTATGTGGTCTATCAAATCTGATGTACATCGTGTTCACAGGCTGTAGACTTACCGGGGCAGATTTTTAATCTGAAGGTAGCCGTCGTTAACGGCAGAGACCATCGAATTTCTAAAACTTTTAACATATCAGTAACTTATAACTTATAATATATCAGTCCACTCCGTAAAGTGCTTGAAACGCAGGAAATGGTGCTAGCATTAGTGTGGGAGTATTCAGTGGTGACGGGGATAGTGCACACAATTGATTGAGGGCGGAAGGTGCTCTTCAAACTGGGTAATACACATCATTTTATTTAATCGAGCGGATGTACGCAAAGTAATTTGGTAAAACTTTAATATAATGGATTTCCGCAAAGTAACGCCTGATTCTATTAATTATAAATAAATATGATATTACCTTGTCCTTTTGGCTTTAATGGTGTTTAAGGTATGATAACTAATCAGTTAATATATTTTAAAACAAAGTTTACACACTGCGCCTATACTAATCAACCAAAACATATTAAAACAAAGTCTTGACACTGCGCTTGTCTGTCTGTCTGTTCCATTATTATTAGACTACTTTGGAAATGATGATTTACAATGATAAATACAGTTGCTTTATAATTTGTGGTAATATTATAAATGGATATATTATCCCTTAGTCATCTTGGCTTTAATCAAATACTTTAATGGTATTTGGGATGTATACCTACAATCAATCAATTCATGTAAAAATATTATATTTTGCCGGAACCACTAAAAGGATTTTCCATTGATCTTAAAGTACCAATAAATGCTGAATGTACCTACAACTTTGTTTTATTTCATTAATTTTTGAACAGTGCACTATTTTAACTTATAATACTGGTGAAAACTACTAGACAATAATATTTAGTTTATGTTTAGGTTATTGTACGATTCATAATTTGATTGTTAATTTCTCGGTACTCTGTTTACTCGTAGATACCGTAAAATTAATATTACTATTTTATTCTAAAGATTATAAGAAATAAAACGACATGTATTTCATTAAGTGTCGCAAAAATTTGTGGTAGGCCCATTCTCCATACAAAAAAAAATTGTCTTCTTTGGCCTGTTATTGTAAAATAAGCCTGTATATATTATATTTTATTATTTTGGTATTTCTACAAAAGATCATTTATTTATATTTATATATTCAGTATGAAAAAGATGTACAGTACAATCAAGCCAAGTCATGCCAATCTAGCAATCGCAGATTTAGAGCCACATTAAAGTATATAATGGCCGAAGCAAATGGGTCGGCTCGACTGGGAAAGGACCACAGGATACCAGTGATATAATAAAATTACTAAGCTACTACTTTTCGTATGGTTTTATTTATTTTTTTACTAGAAATAAGGCTTTCTATCTTAGTCCTCAATCTTATTCGTGGATATAATATGTAGATGTAGAAGTGGACTTTGTGGTCTGTGCACGAGAAGCAAAACCCTTTTTACTGGTAACGACGCATCTTATCTAAGTCCTCAGGATGTATTTGGATTCTTAAATGATTATCAATAATGTCTTTGGTCTATAGCATTTTCTTACCATTAAATGAGCTGTGTGCTTCAGCACAGTTTGTTACTCACTTACTTCTATACCTTTAAGTACGTTAAAACAGGAAGATAGTTATTTATAAAATCTTGTCTCACCCGTCTACCGGCCCGTTCAATCAAGAAGGCGCCAATGAAACCCGACGTTATTGTCACTAAGGTGAAGATCACGCTGCAGATAGTTGGTGACATTGATGGCACAGCCTCAGCGTAGAGAGGCCCTGCATACACTTGCACCACTATCAGACCTTGGAATATCACTGCTGCGTTTAACACTAATATCATGAAGAGAGCTCGTCTGGTTGACCGTGATTTTTCTGTAAAGGAAATAATTGTACAGAAATAATTTAAGTGGAAGAGCCACACTGCAGATATATTATGGCTGTAGCATGAATGGGTTGGCTAGAGATAAGAACACACTCTCACAGAATACCAGCCTGAAATAGCAGAATAATATTTTTTATTTTTTATTTATACTCTTTATTGCACATAAAACACTACACAACACAGCAAACTTAAATTTATCAACGAATGTACAATTAGGTGGCCTTATCGCTAAACAGCGATCTCTTCCAGGCAAACCTTGGTGAAGGAGATAATTTTCATTTAAATATATAGAAGTGTGCATAAATAGTAGATAAACAAGCATATACTAAAAATAATATTATATATATATCTATACACATAAACAAATATATACATACACACATACATATACACATATACCTACATATACATACATAGAATACATACACTTTTATAAATATTTCTGTAATACATTATAATTATATATCATATACATAAACCTTATCAAGAAAAGTAGATATGACAATAAAATATATTAAGTAGAACACATATTTAAATAATAATCTTTAACCACATTTTTGATAGACTCAATGCTTTGGGCTTTTTTAATTGTTAAAGGAAGCGAGTTCCATAATTTGATTGCTTTGACACAAAAGGAGGAATCAAAAAATTTTGAGTTGTGAGCGGGCATACGCAGTTAAAGTTTATCAGCTATTCTGGAATGATCTTTATTTGCGCCCATGAACCTAAATTTTTCTTTAACATAACTCGGTGTTTTAGGATCAAATAGTACACAGTACAGTAGAGATAGAATATGAGTATTCCGACGGAGCCTGATAGGGAGCCACTTGAGCTTAATACGGTACTCTGAAACGTGATCATATTTGCGAAGGCCAAATATGAACCTGATAGCGAAATTCTGAAGACGCTCAAGTTTATTTAAATGATCCTCAGTAAGATTGGAGTAGCATGCATCAGCATAATCAAGGATAGGGAGTATCAAAGACTGTGCCAGTGAAATTCTAGTAGGAATGGGAAGCGAGTTACGCAAACGTCTTAAATAAGATGCTGCCGCAAACATCTTTCTGCTGGACTCCTTAATATGCAGGGACCAAGAAAGATTCTGATCAATATATAATCCTAGGTCTTTTACAGATTTACTAAAAGGTATCACAACACCATCAACAACAATAGAAGGAAGGTTACCCCAAAAAATTCTCGAGATTAGAGTGCTATTTCCAACAATAATGGCTTGGGTCTTTTTGGGATTTAAATTAAGCCCGAACGACCTGCTCCAATCAAGTATTGCAGCAAGATTCGTATTGGTGTTATTGATGGCATTGGTAAGATTCTGGAGTGATGTATGGGAGTAAATTTGGAGATCATCTGCATACAAATGATAGAGAGAAGTAATTCGTGAAGTAATAGAATTAATAAATACAGAAAAAAGGAGAGGAGACAACACGCCACCCTGTGGTACACCAGCAGTTAGTTCACACCACGTAGATGTGGCACCCTCTACCATAACACGCTGCCGGCGGCCACGCAAAAAGCTTTGAAACCATTCAATTGCCGCTGGAGATATGTTAATAGAACGTAGCAGATTCAACAATACGTCAAAATCGACGGTGTTAAAAGCGTTACTGAAATCCAGCAACGTAAGAATAGTGAGCTGCTGTTGGTCCATACCCCAGCGAATATCATCAGTGATTTTAAGTAAAGCTGTAATAGTACTATGACCAAGTCTGAACCCTGATTGAAAGGAGTCAAGAAGGAAGTTTTTATTTAGGTAGTGGTTAAATTGTGCAAATACCAAACGTTCAAGAACTTTTGAAAGGAATGGAAGGATAGATGTAGGTCGATAATCTGAAGGAGAACTGTTGTGTTTTGTATGGTATGTGTAAAGAAACGGAGACCCTTTTTTACTGGATAACGAGGCAATTCATCTTAGTTCTCAGGGGTGACATCGAATCTGTATTTCGATTCATTATAGGATAGATCTATATATCCACATGAATATATATCACAGCTTCCAATTACCCTATGGTGGTAATAGGTAGTCATTCTATAAAAAAATACGGCAACATTGTTCTTATAGAGAAGTGCAGTAAGAGGTAAATATCAGTTTCAGCTGGCATGCATAATGTCCGTTTCTATGTATCTACTCATACATTACCGCCTATCAAAGTCTACCGCTTTATAGCAACCTCCCCCATAGATTACATATACATAATATTTTCCATAGATGACTTATTATTTTCAGTTGTTATCAGAAAGGCAATTTTTCTTAGTGGAATCCCTTATGCCACCACGACACAGCATAGATTTTAGCAAATGAAATCTTATTCAATTTGTCATAATTGCTCAAGGAACAATCTCCATCGTTATATCATAGTATTTGTAGAATATTCTCCAATTATTAATATTATTATTATTAATTCGGTAAAGTAAAATAAGAGTCTGAAGATAGCCGGGGTAAACTATGACACCAGGACGTTGAACACCTTAGTTTTCCCGTGACCAGGGGTGCTGCAAAGCACTCATGTCGAGATTTAAAATAACTAAATAAGTTTAAACTGAATGCGATAAACTAAATAAAATTTGTATCTATCCAAACTTGTTTTGTTTTTATATTTTTCAATAGTTCAATAGTTCAATATTTAATAGTTTTTTTACAATTCAATAGTTTTTACGTGCAGTGTTCGATCATTGTGGAAACAAGTGTTCCACCTCCGTCGCATTTTGGCAAGTCCACAGGAACGCTTCACATACATTCGCGACTTTACCAGCGTCGGCCGCCCCATGGTAGTCCCTTCTCATAAGAGGACTTCTCCCTTTTCCGACATGGCGGACTGCCTAAACCTAGATTAGCCATCGGAGTTGGACAGGATTATATTTTTTCAATAGTGTATGCGTTAGCACAGGTGTACTCTCTATCCCCTCACTGTCATACTCTGATAGAGCGGCAATGCAATTCGACCGGAGAGATATCAGGCGCAGAACCAACTGCTTTAAGTGCACTCCAAGGCACGGGGTTGAAACATCGCCAAAATCCTAATTCCGGGCTGCTACTGATAATTTCTTTACAGAAAAACTCAATAATTATTTTCGACTCCATCCGAGATTTGAATAACATATCACCTGATCAGCAGTCACGTTTACAACCACAACACTAAAGAGATAGTCACAAGATATTCTAAGAAATCATTAAGGTACACAGTATGCAGATATGATGTTACAGCATTTAATCTTCTTTAAAATTATAATATTTTCTACTGTAATATTTTGTACATATCTAGGTAAGAAGTAGTAACTAATTTATACATAAAGGATAGTGGGAATGTACTTACTTAGAAATTGCCACGTAGAAAGTTTAGGATTTTCCTTCAGCTCAGACGTTAGTTTTTCTTCTTCAGGCGTAGCATCTGTAAATTAAATTGGACTATTAATTAGTTTTTGGTGACTAGCAGTTTTTTTTGTAATAATAATAATAATAATAATATTTTATTTGCATAAAACATGGTATATAATAGATTTTACAAAACTTTTCAGATCAGCATGTTTTGCTACGGTTATTCATAGCATGCAAATTTTTTTTTTTACATTAATATTTTTGGCTACAAAAATCCTTAACACTATAGAAATTACAATTATTTAGCCACTGATATAGTTTTAATTTAAATGATCTTGTATTTAATATTTTTAAGTAATTAGGTATCTTATTATATAACTGAACACACATAAATAAACAACTTTTATTATATTTTCTTATTCTAGGATTATCGTTTAGTATAAGTCTATATGGATCTCGATGACTGCGGGGATTTACATCATCTATCGTTGTAAACAACGTTTTGTGCTTCTGTACAAACATACATACTTCATAGATGTAAAGTGATGGTAGTGGTAATAAGCCAAGTTTTTTAAACACTGGTCGACACGATTCATTCGGTTTTAACCCACATATAGCTCTAATGCATTTTTTTTGCGCGACAAATGCTTTATTTTGATCAGTGCTGTTGCCCCACATTATAAGACCATACCGCAGTAAAGATTCTACGTATGCATGGTAGGACATGACAGCGGTTTTTATGTTTGTTATGTTTTTTATTTGTTTAAGTGCATACACGAATTTATTTATTTTGATAGAGACATCATTAACATGTGGTTTCCAATTTATATCGTCATCTATAATTAAACCTAAAAATTTTGTATGACTAGCTGCTTTTATTTTTGGAATGTTAAGTTTAAGATTATGTTTATTATTAGTGCATTTATTAAATTGTATATATAAAGATTTGTCTAAATTAATTTTTAAATTATGTATGTCAACCCAATTTATTAAAGTATCTATTGTATTATTCATGTCAGCTTCGTGGTCACTCATATTATTAATTTTTTTATTGGAAGTCACGATTATGGAAATGTCATCAGCAAATAGAATACATTTATGCTTCGTCATATTGACAATGTCATTTAAGTACAATAAAAACAGAATTGGACCGAGAACACTTCCCTGTGGAACGCCATATTTATTGTTTCGGTATTCGGACGAGTACGTTATTATGTCCCCATTTACATCTGCTTTAGTAACAATAACACATTGTTGCCTATTATAAAGATATGATGTAATCCATTGAAGTGGTGGTCCTCTAATTCCAATTTTTTCCAATTTCTGTAACAATAGGTCATGTGAAACTAGGTCAAAGGCTTTAGATAGGTCAAAAAATAGTCCCGTGGTAAAATTATTATTATTGATATTTGAAAGTACTATTTTTATGAGTGAAAAAATTGCCAAAGTTGTAGATTTATCTTTTTGAAAGCCGTACTGTTCGTTTGATATAATGTGATATTTATTACAAAATTCAAGAAGTCTTTTATACATGCATTTTTCATATATTTTTGATATAACGGATATTAGGGTTATAGGTCGATAATTATTAATATCACATTTCTCTCCTTTTTTAAACAGTGGCTTAACTATTGATAGTTTTAATGCATCTGGAAAGATTCCACAAGAAAATGAAAAATTAATTAAATATGTCAAGATTTCAATTAATTCCATTATACATTTTTTAATTATTTTTGTGTTTATGTCATCGTAGCCTTCAGAGCTAGTATTTTTTAATAGCATTATTTCCCTTGTAACCTCATTTTCAGACATAGGTCTAAGAAACATAGAGTTGATATTCGCGCTGTTAATAGTTACTTTTTTCGCTGTAGTGCGTGTTGTTGATTCACAGGTCAAATTAATAAAATGATTGTTAAAAGCAGAAGCTATATCTACAGGATTCGTAAGAATATCTACAGGATTCGTAAGTGTATGCATGTCACGCGTCATATTTGTCAATTGTACACTGATTTTGATTTGATTTTTGATATCTTTATAGTAACGACCCTTCGAGCTGCGCGGATGCCATAACCAATGTGATACGTCAAGCGATGGAGCATTTCATCCCCTTTGCTGACGTGCCCATTGGTGGTAAAGCTCGCCCATGGTTTAACACCGAGTGCGCTCGTGCTGAAAAGTACAAGCATATGGCGTACTTATCGTGGGTCGATGCTCGAGACCGGAAATCTCCGGATGTTAGCCTTAAGAAGAAAGCCTTTAACCAAGCCGCCAAGTCCTGCAAAAAGGCATTACGCCAAGCCAGTTTCGACCGCATTAAACGCATCAGCACAAAGCTCTCTGTCAAACCATCTGGCAGTAGAGCTTTTTGGTCTCTCGCCAAATCGTTCGAGACAAAATTCTGTCGGTCTACACTGCCTCCGCTGGTAAAACCAGATGGCTCCCTGACGCATGCACCTAAGGAGAAAGCGGACTTATTTGCTTCTCTTTTTGCTTGCAATTCGCGTCTGGATAGTAGCAACAGCGTACCATCTCAATTACCTCACTGCGGTACTTCTATGTCAGAGGTCTGTATCAACAACAAGGAGGTTCTTAAAACCTTGCGAAGTCTAGACGTGAACAAAGCTAGTGGACCTGATGGTATACCAGCTATAGTTCTAAAGGTCTATGCACCTGAGTTATCTCCTGTGTTGACACGCTTGTTCCACTTCTGATTCAGGACTGGAATAGTACCTAAATCTTGGAAACTGGCCAATGTGCAGCCTGTGTCTAAAAAAGGTAGCCTTACCGACACTGCCAACTATCGGCCAATTTCAATCAGCGTATATTGAGCGTATACTGAACACCCGCTTAATGGTATACCTAGAGCCTGATGACCTCCTTAGTGACCGGTAATACATGTTTAGTGGACCTTCTAGCGAATGCCACACACGTATGGGGCGAGTCACTCGAGAACAGTGCGGAAGCACTCGCTGTTTCCCTTGATGGCTCGAAAGACTTTGACAGAGTTTAGCACGCCAGCCTTTTGGGTAAACTTGCAGCGTACAGTATATTCCCTGGTCTGATTGAATAGGTAAAGGACTTTTTGAGTGAATGGTTTCTTCGGGTTGTCGTGTATAGCTGCACATCTGATCCTGTGGCGACTAATGCCGGTGTTACTCAGGGGTCTCTTCTCTCCGCAACTCTTCTCCAGCTGCATGTTAATGATCTGCTTATGCTCGGTATCTATGGGCAACTAAGTCATCGGGCCAGTTGGGATTAAATCCAGTCCGAAATAGAAGCTATGTTAGAGCGTGTAAATCTCACACTACAGACAGTCTCCGAATGAGGCGATGCCAATCTTGTGAAACTTAACATCTCGAAAACACAAGCGTGTCTCTTCACTGCAAAAAGCTCACCTTGGTGCCTTCTTTCCGAAATGGTATACACCGACCGCCTTCAGTTATTAGGGGTTGAGATATCCTCAAATCTTGACTACTGGCGGTTCAATGAGTCCAAGGCAAAAAAAAAGCAGCTGAAAGGAATCTAGGAGTTCTTGCAAAGATGCGGCGATACTTCACGCCGAGGCAGTTGCTTACTTTATATAAAGCGCAAGTCCGGTAGTGCATAGAGAATTGCTGCCATATATGGGCCGATACTGCTAAATGCCACCTAGCAGTTTTGGGCTCAATGAAAAGTCATGCTAAGAGGCTTATTGGTGACTCGAATTTAGTTAAAACCAATCTTACCAGCCTCAAACATAGACGCAAATTAGCCAGCCTTTCGGTTTTTTACAGGTTGCGTTTTGGGGAGTATACAAAAGAACTGCATAATTTAATTCCTCCCTCACCCTTCCCATCATACAACGAGACGTTTGGCCAGTCTCCACACTTTTGTCATTGACTTACCTCGCATTCAAACCAAACGGTTTGCTGCGCCGTTCATCATGCGTACAGCAAATGAGTAGATTAATTCGCCAGCATCTGTCTTTCCATCCGATTACAGTCAGGGTGTTTTCAAGGCAATAGTGAATAGGCTTTTGTTAAATCAGTGCGCTTCACCATCTTAGGTTATATCACCACTTACAATCAGGTGGGGTTGTTGTTAAACGCTGGCTTAGAATAATATTAAAAAAATGCATTGCACTTGCACTTAGGCTGGATGCCGCTTGTCTTCACACATATAACATTCACAGAATATCGCGAAATATAGCTTTATTGCAAATGTCTATACACTTTTCTACGTTCTTGTATATTTCCATATTTAAAACATACAAAGGCGGAAGCAATCACGCGAGATGTAGGTGATGCAGCTTTTTTGCGTGTTTTGCGAGCTTGTGAGAACCCCTTTTAAACACCAGAGTGCACATGCTAGGCATAAAAGATGTTAGATAGGAAACCTGTGAATGGGCCTTGCAGTATTCTCAATGGATAACAATTAAAGCATCTAATAAACGTTAGGTAGTGGCAAAGCAGCGCGAACACTGTTCCTTCGGCATATCAATGATATTTTGCAAACCAGTAGCACTCATTGCTATACGGATGACTGCACAGTTGATGCTTTCTACACCGGCCGTGCTAATATTTCTCAAAATCACGTTCATTAAGTACCTGAACAAACTTGTATCTGAAGTTATGTCTTTATTAAACAAAGTATCGGATTAGGGACCTTTAAATCTAGTCCAGTTCAATCCCTAGAAGACACAACTATACTCTTAAAAAAAATATTAATGACGTGCATTTTTCAAATTTATAAAATATTCTCTACATGATTGCCTCTGGTGTATGCGAGATATTATTCCAATTGCTCTTTTTTGTAGAATAAACGCTTTTTTTATATTATAGGCATAACTATTTCCACAAAACTTAACACTGTATCTTAAGATTTTGTGTACTTATTGATATACTATAGAACAACGACTAACTTTTATAATCTCTACCGCCCAAATCCGTATTAAGTGCCCTTCGAAGCTTTTGCAATTCTTCTTCAACCAACTTAGAATTGACAGAAGTGCCTCGGTAAAATGCGATTGCTTGTGCAGCCTCCTGTAAATAGAAGAGAACACATTCGCGCATAAGTTTACCATGCGGTGTTGGGGTTAAGGGACAGTGGCAACTTTAGGGCGAGGTTACTTGGGTGACCACCCGGGGCGTCAGAGTCAACAGAGCACAAGAGAGCCAAAGAGTGTCCGGGCGGTGTGAATGAATCTGATATCATAGCCAACCCAGGTCGCAATCAAGGACTACAATACTTATTAAATCATCAGGTGAGATTGTAGTCAAAGACTGGGTTATTAAGTAAAAAGGCGCAAGCCGAAGGAAGCCAGGATGCCCATACCATCCCGTGTTTAACGCTAAAACGGGTTTAAGAGGAACTCGTAAAAACTTTTGATCTAAGATATACGACGGTATAACCATCTTGTATTTGTGCTAGATATAAAATATTTTACACCGTTACTACGTGGTTAATCCACTACCCATATCATCCCGTAGTTGTCGTAAGAGGCGACAGAGGAAAACTGAATCAGGAGATGGGCTCCAGAATCTTACTGATAATAGCTGAATAAAAATAACAAATTGCGGTTGCCCATCTGCTCACCAAGCATGACAACTATGGCAAATATTCTTACTTTGGGGCAATTTAGGCACTACTGAACTAGGAGGCTTATGTTCAGCAGTGAACTTTTGATTAACTATAATGGAAATGAAATCTCTAGACTGGCGACGAGATTAGTGTCATTGTTAAAATATGGGCCTGTGACTTATTCACTGCTGGCTATATGAGGGACCTCATGGTCTCACAGCGGGCTATGGAGAGGGCTATAGTCAGAGTATCTTTGTGTAATAGAATTTTTAATGAGGATGTCCGCAGTAGAACCAGAGTAATTGAAATAGCCCAAAGGATACATAGCTGGATGAACCGACAAACTTTGGGGAGAAAGGTTCTTGAATAGCAGGCTCGTACAGGTAAAGGAAGTGTGGAGCAGCCTCTCACTAGATGTAGTTACGAACTAGTAAGAAATGCAAGAAGTTTATGGCTGCAGGTGGTGTAGGACCGTGCTTAGTGTCATTCTTGAGTGGAGGCCTATGCTCAGCAATCGATTTGTGATAGACTGTTATGAAAGTGATGATGGCGACGGAAAAATGCGTCAAAAGCACGAGGTGCCTAATAGTGCAATTGCTAATAATTCTGCAAAGTCTGGCATTGGTGGCAAATCATTATCATTATCAAAACCATGCGGAGGAGTATATTTTTTATAAATGTAAGAGTGACAAAATATTTAAGAGTCCATTTTACAGTAATGGATTCCGTGGCGCATGGACACCTACATATATCCTCGATTAAATGTAAAAATGCTGAGGTGTTTTTATACATGAGGTCTTAGATGGAATGCTTAGTTACCAGTAAAATGTGTCTATTGTTCTCATTGTCGGTATGGTTAACCATAGCAATCACGCCAGCACTTTGCTCCTATTTTTCGCTGATGGTCTGTGATAGCACTCAAAACCGATCGAGCAGATCTACTCTTACTGTAATTAAAGCTTAGCTACAACGTGGCTTTCTACCGTAAAACACGCAGTTTTTAATAAAAATTTAGAAACCATGTCTGCTGTGATGCTAAAATAGGAAGTACGCTAGAGAGCAGTGTCTAAAGCACAGGGGCAACCACAAATAAGTATGCTCCAAGACAATAGTTTTGTTTGCAAAAAATTTGGCTGCAATCATAATTTTTTCTAGTTTCACTTATATGGCATAATGAATCTTCTTTATAGAACTGTACATAATTCAATTCAATTCAGTTTATTTATTTATTTCTTCACAACTTACTGGCTGATTAACAATATCGATATACATAGTAAGGACCTAGCGTTGTGAGAGACTGGTGCCTATTATAAGTTTTATATTAAAAACCTGAGTTACATGTCACCAGCCCCCCCCTCGCGGATAGGTTACATATAATACAAAGAGGAAATATAACATAATAAACTTCTTGAACGGGGAATCTCATTTATATGACGTACAATTTTTTCGAACGTGATGTCTCGCCTTCGCCAACTCGAGAGGAATGATAACTGACGTGATAATTTGAGGTATGTGCATCTTCTTTATCAGCTCGATAAAACCCACTATTGGACAAGGACCTTTTCCTTAAGAAAATATTTATCCTGATCGCCACGCGTGGCAGGATTGACGATAACAGTAATAGATGTCTAGGTACTTAAAGTGTCACCAACTTATCTGTTCAGGTGGACAAAATTGGAACTAAGGCCGCAATTTTGTAAATGACATTTTACTATCAGTTATTATGTATTCTCAGAGCTTTCAGGTGAGTGTTTTTAAAAAGTGCAAATAAAATGCCTAAAGCTTTTAAAAGTGATGCGCGACAGATTATCCTGAAAGTTTTATTTTTTCTGAAAGAAGAGAAACGTGTACAAGGCCCAACTATGCCATTTGAAAAGCTGTATGAACGCGTTGCTGCCGCGACAGGTTTGTATTGCCAAATATGGAAAATTAAAATCACCAAATAATGTACTTTTGAAACATACTTAATAAATTATCTAATATATAATTACTGTAAAACTGTTGGAAAATCTAATGTTCTAATGCCCCAATTAATTGAAGATGCATTCCATAAAATTACACCGGTGTAGTGGAAAAACATTTGTAATCATGTGAAAAAAAAGAATAAAATACGCATATTTAGATGAACCCTTTATTATATAGTGTCAGAGCGGTAGCCAAAGCGATTACAGTGACTCAGAAGATGAATTATTGGAACCAGTAGCTAACGCGGGTACATCTTTCAAAATAAAAACTCCTGGAGTTCGGCCGCTTGAACTCCGAGATCACGACCACAATAATTTTTATAAAATATAAATAATATATATAATAAAACAAATTCTCACTAATTTTAATATATTAACAAGAAATTTGTTTTAATTTATATTATGTGTAATGAATAGGTAGTCACATATTTCCTCGGTGAATTTCTTAAATGGCAATAGTAAGCGCTCCACTAGCGACTCTGTCAACTGAACAGATAAGTTGGTGGCACTACACAATCAGGTGGACTGAAAATTCGTTTATCATTAAGTTTTCAAAAAACTTCCAAGCGGTTAAGCTACTCTAACCTTCAATTAGATGTGACCATAACCAGCATCATTGCTGTTACGCACTAATAGTTATACGTAGTAGAGCCATGCTGCAGCTATATTAGTGGTATATTTGTAGCACGAATGGGCCGGCTCGACCGGGGAAGGACCACGCTCTCACAGAATACCAGCGTAAAATGGCAGCTTAACACTGCTGTGTTTCGTATGGTGAGTGTAGAGATCCGGAGACCCTTTTTACTGGAAAAGAGGCATTCCATCTTAGCCCTCACGGTGACAACGCATCTGCATTTTGATTTGTAAACGTGGATAGATGTAGATGTCTATGGGCCACAGCAACCACTTTCCATCAGGTGGACTGTGTGCCCGGTTTTCATCCTATCTTATAAAAAAATAGATAACAACAAAAAAAACCTAAAATGGTTTTTTTTTTCATTGAACTTACTTTCTTGTGGCCTTTCCTCATCAGATGCATAGGTGACTCCTTCAAAAAATATAAAAATACCACTTCAAGCACTGTTATGGATAAACAGACGTAGTTCATGTTGTCATAGCTCAAATAGCCTCCCATGAGGTAAGATACGAGCATCCCAATCGAGTGGAAGACCATCGCACCTGACGTCATCATCCCTCTTATGGAGTCTTGGCAAATCTCGCTGACGTAGATCGGTACAACCAGTAACATACATCTGCATAGTCCAGACAAAAAAATTGCGGCGAGGATGGCTTCCACGTTGTAGGAAAAAGTTATAATGACCCAATTGATCTGTGGAAAAAAATAAGTCCTGACTAAACAATAATATTGTAAAAGCGTACAACATTTTTTTATATATTAGGTAGCTAATTATAACTACGTAGATTAAGAATTAAAATGCATATGTGTCGCCAGCCCTAAGGACTAAGATGGAATGCCTATTTATTAGTAAATTGAGTTCTGGTATCGTTTCGTATATAAGGCAAGCAGTATCAAGCAGTGGGGCTGAGTGTCCCATATCACTTACATTTACTACCACTATTCCTTTTTAATAACCATTATGTCGTTTAGTATAATTATATTATAATTATTAGTCTGATTAAATCAAACACTACGTGCAACTCGCATTTTAATATTATTATTTTCAGTTGTTTTATTTATATTTCGTTTATATTTTGTACATGAATATCAATTATTAATTTATTAATAGGAACACTACGAAAACTCGCACTAGCTGATTAAGTAATTAAACAATTAAATTGATATCTATACAAATAAATAAAATTGAAGTGTCTGTTTTGTAATGTCAAAATAACAGCTTTTTACTAAATGCATATGAAAGTATTTACGGTACTTATAACAAAAAATCATTTTTACAATTTTTGTCTGTTTTTCTGTCTGTCTGTCTGTCTGTCTGACTGTCTGTCTGTTTGTTCCGGCTAATCTCCGAAACGGCTGGGCCGATTTTCACGGGATTTTCTATGGTAGATAGCTGATGTTATAAGGAGTAACTTAGACTACTTTTATTTAAGTAAAAGAATTAGGGTTCTGCGCAAAAAATAAAACGCATGAAATCCAATAGTAACGCGGGCGAAGTCGCGTGGAACAGCCAGTTTTTAATATAACCAGTGATGTACGCGTACTGTTATATTATAGTGAAATAATTATACGGGTACTGATAGAATAACAGCGTTGTAGATTCTTTGCAACACTGTTTGTTGAGTCAGAGCCCTTTTATTGTCCTTCTTAAAATATTATGTTTGTATTGATTTAATTTTTTAATGTTTTGTTATTTTTGATGAATGAATAAATATTTTATTATTATAATTATTAAAATTATGCTGCTTTTTCATGCTGACATTCTGTGAGAGCTTGGATCATTCTTGTTCAAGCCGGTCAATTTCTGTTGCAGCCATATAATCAGCCTAATCAAGTTTAGAACAAAGGTATGTAGATTTTTTTTTATATCCATGTGTTGGTAGAATGTGCATTCTTTTAAATTTAAAATGTATGTAAAAATTAAAGAAACGCTACTCATACTGTAAATAAGACAAAAAGATGCACCACTACAAACTGTCTAAAATAAAATTAAGCCCTAGTACCTATTAAAATAATGATTTAGTCAACAAATTGTATAAGTTTTGTTAATACGTGGTAGAGCCATGCTGCAGCTATATTAGTAGTATAGTTGTAGCACGAATGTGTCGGCTCGACCGTGGAAGGACCACGCTCACACAGAATACCAGCGTAAAATGGCAGCTCAACACTGCTGTGTTTCGTATGGTGAGTGTAGAGATCCGGAGACCCTTTTTACTGGAAAAGAGGCATTCCATCTTAGCCTTATGTCTATGGGCTACAGCAACCACTTACCATCAGGTGGACTGTGTGCTCGTTTGTCTACCCAATCCTATAAAAAAAATTCATTCATTACAGTTCGTCAAAAGTTAACTACTTATTACCATAGGGCGGGTATTTGCCATATTTGCCACTCTTAGAAAATTGATTGGCAAACACAGTTTTTTATTACTTTGAGCTGCTGTCAGGAAGGTGCTGTTGTCAGGAACATGCTATTGTCAAGAAGATGCTACTGTCCATCTATTTCTTTCCATTTCCCTTTGTCAACTCTTACAACATCCATTCAATGATACGGGGTAGCGGATACTCTTGCACTGCCAATGCCCTGCGTTGTATTAGTTTTCGATGTATTATAAACTGTGACACTATAATTCACGGCTCCGTGGCGCAGTGGCTTAGCAATAAGTTCCAGCGCTTGGGGCTGCGTTTTCGAATCCCGCACGGAACAAATATTTGTATGGCCTACAGATAATTGTTCCGGGTCTGGATGTTTGTCCTTGTGCAATTTATGTTTGTAAATTACCGCCACGATATAGGAGAAAATCCTAGTGTGGGGGTAAAATATTTTTTTTTAAGAAAAGAAAAGAAAAAGAAGGAATACTGTTACCTCTAATTCTTTTGACTAGGATATAGTTTATTACTTGTTAGTGTTTATTGCTTTATGTTGTTACCTTGTGGTGATGGCACTTGATATTTCATCATCCCATTTTGTTCCGCCTTATTTCTCCCGACAGATAGTGGTATAACCATCTCGTTAACGCCAGGTATAAAATAACCAGACCAGTGGCGGGAAGCAAGGGTGACTATTGAGGCAAATTTTCTCTCCCATTAAATTTATGTCCAACAATAGACTTGCCCTGAGTTGTTTAACATTGATATAAATTATGCGTTGACAAACATTTAGATCCAGAGCAGTTGTTTGTAGACACATAATTGGTTTCTACTACTCTATCTTCTCTATCTTAGGAAGGATCGCTTTCAAAATCTCTCCAAAGTTCTATCTACAAATTATACTTACTACTTCAAGCATTGAAAACAGCACACAACAATACTTTCTTCCAAGTGTTTCCATAACGTAGCTGACAAAAGTTGTGCTTATCAAGCCGCTGATTAAAGGTAGGCTGCCTAAAAGAGAAACTTCGGTCTCCGTCATTGGTCGGTTGAGGGTCGTGTTGGTCGAAGAGAAGAGCATCAGAGTGGACGATGGCCAGGTGAACATGATGCCCATTGACATGCAGAGGTAGCTAGCTGAAAATATTAAGAATATTTTGTCGAGGGTTTCATGGATCGATGTTTACCTGCACACTCAAAACGCGTAGAATATAAGAAATGTGGGTATCATAGATGTCGTAAAACGGGGTGTATAGAAATTGCGGGGTGAATAAAAAAATATCAAAAAAGTTCTGAAGGTTAATATTTGACTATTTTAATTGAAGGATTTGGTAGAATTTTAATATATTACACAACAACATTTTTTCTTTACCTTAGCAACAATTTTTAAATGTCAAAATCGATATTTATCCTTCAAAACTTACTTCAAATTCTACCTTCTGTGAACGCGTTTAATTTAACTGCGTCAACTCTTAATTTTAGGTGTTAAAATAAGTGAATTGTGTTGTTTTATGTGCGTATCTTATTAATTGCGTTATAAATTTTAAAAATTCAGTGAAGGTAAGTGAGAATCCGTTATTAAACTTCAAAATTTGTTAAAATCACAGTACGTGTAAATTTATTGCTTAAAAGGGGCTAATAGAATCTGTTGAAGGGGGAATAGAACAGGAATAGAATAGTAGTATAAATGTAATGGAAACATTGTAGGGAATAATAGAAACGCTGAATGTGTGAATAGAAACTAATGAGGGGTCAAGAGAGATAAATAAATAGGGTTGTTAAAAACTGTTAACATAACTATGTAACTATCTTCATAGTTTTAGTATTAATAAATAGTAAAACTGTGGAAGAGTATGTAACTTCTTTAAATGTTAAATTAGAAGAAGTTGCTAAAAATATGGCATACACAAATCGGTGTTGAGTCGTCACAGTACCCATGATATGAAGCGACAAGAAGACCAAAGTGTTTTATCCAATGAGACTAAAATGTGCTTAAGAGAAAACATAAACAAACGCGCAGAATGGGGTTATCCCCTAGATGCTATGGATCTCATATACATAATAAAAATGTATCTTGGTAAGATATGTATAGACCATAAGAGATTTAAAAATAATTTTCCAGGATTGGATTTTGTGCAGAGCATCCTATTAAGACACAAAAATGAGATTACTCAAAGAGTTTGTGAAAATGTCAAGCGTGTGAGAGCTAAGTTATGTCCAGATACGATTAAAGAATATTTCATCGAACTTGAAAAATCTTTAAATGGAGTGCTTTTAAATTATGACGAGAAAAATTTGTTGGACGACCCTGGACGGAAGAAAATATTGGTCAAGTGGGGATGCAAGTACCCTGAAAGGGTTTTAAACCATACCAAGGCTTCCGCATCTACTATGATGGCTGGTACCACAGATGGTAAAATGTCACCGCCATATGTGATATAGAAAGCAACTCATTTATGTGATTGCTGGGTCCAACAAGGTCCTGACGGTACTCGATATAACAGGTCGACATCTGGATGGTTTGATGGAACCACTTTTGAGGACTGGGTGCAAAATATGGTGGTCCCTTATTTAAAGGATTTACCAGGCAAAAAGTACTTTATTGGAGACAATCTGTCTTCAAATTTATCAGCAGATTTGATCCAAATATGAAAAGTGCACAATATCGATTTTGTATTCTTACCAGCCAACTCAACTCACCTGATGCAACCGCTGGACGTGGCATTTTTTCGTTCAATGAAGCATGCCTTGAGACAATTATTATTAAAATGGAAAATGATAGATGGTCGACAATTTCCCATGATTCCAAAAGGTTGTTTTCTAAACCTATTAAAATTGTTAATTGATGAGCTTAATATAAATGATTCAAGGAATATTATTGCTGGATTTAAGAAAACAGCGATTAGCCCTTTAAATGTACATGAAATATTAGCTAGACTTCCCGACAGAGACTTAGGTACAGACAATCAAAGTGCTGTGGAAGATTCTGTTGTAAAACTCATCAAAGAAATGAGCTATGGTTCCATGAACATCATGAAACCTAAAAGAAAGGTAAATCTCAGTTTACTCCCAGGTAAAAATGTTGCTGCAAAAGAAATTGAAGGTCATGCAGAAACTGATATTGATTACAGTATGGAAAGTCAGAAAAATAATACACTACAAGTACTAGTGGTCCATCAGGATTAAATAATAAAAATAAAGAAAAACGTAAAAAATAAAATGACAAACATGAAAATAAAAGTGAATGAAGAAAAAGTAAGTTTCCCCGAGAATATAGAACCTAACAAAGGAAAAGGTAAAGGGATTGGATAAAAAACTAAGATACCCTATTTAGAAGTAAAAGAAATACAAGATAAAGAAAATTTCAAAAATTATATAGAAAACAATAAGACTAAAGGAAAATATATTGAAGAAATAACAAAACAATCAAGTTTGGAAAGAATAGAAAGAGAAGACCAGGACAATAATGATAACAACAATAATGAAAGGAAGGAATAAGATAACAACGCAGGCCAAAAAAATACGAAAATACAAGACAGGAAAATTACGATAATGTCACGGCTTACGAATATTATTACGATAATAACATAGAAGAATTACAATGCAATATACATAATGATTTAGATATCAAAACTCTACCCATTTTTGATAGCTTATGTGAAGAGTTTACGATCTCTGAAAAACTGCTGATGACAATAATATTATGGATAATAAAATAAAAATTATATGAAATGACATAGTGAATGACGGTCAGTACAACAAAAAATACAAATTACCTATTATAAAAAAGCAAGACTTTAGCCGTACAAGATCTTGCCAATTGCCAAGGAAAAACCTAATAAATAATTATTACAATAATAGTGACGAAATATTAAAAGTTCTAGAAGAGGATTATGTGAACTAGAAGATCTAGATAGTTTAGTTTGGTAACCTTTAAGAATTTTTATTATTTTTACAGAGTAGTGCTAGTTCTATACCAATCTATAACGTAGGCTCAAGTTGATTACCTGTGATATCTTTGTTATGATAATTGATAAGTTTAGAAGATTTATAATTATTGTTTTTCGTCGTATATTCGACTTTTAATTCAGAAAATTGTTTTGTATTTTGTTTTATTTCATTCAAATAGAAATACGAATAAACTATTAAATTCCGTAAAAATGAAATCAGTTAAAATACAAATATATTTATTTGTATTTAAAAGTTTAAATCACAAAATTTGAAATTCATTTAGCATTTACAAGACAAAAAAATTTTTGAACACAGAACCTTACGATTTTGCATGTTTGATAAAAGTTATTTGTGACAGTCCTAACAGTTTTTCCATTTAACCCTTTACGCGTGTCTATTGACCCCAGTAGTTGAGTGAATATAAATGGTAAATATTTTACAAAGTTTCTGGAAAACCTATGCTTATAAGTAAAAAAAAATATTGTTGTAGCTTTTTTTACATGGTACCGGACATGATACAATACACATGGTAAAAATAATAACTAATTGACAACAAATTCTTTGGACAAAGTTGAAAATTATTGCTATTCACCCCAAGTTTATGGCAATTATTATTATTTATTTATTTAATTATTTCGACCAATAAGGATTCAAGCCCACGACTCTCTGACTTTGCGGTCCGCATCTACCATTAGGCTACTGTTGATACGGTGCTTGGCCAAACCCCATGCCCAGTCGGTCTGTCTGTCTGTCTGTTTGTTCCGGCTAATCTTCGAAACGGCTGGATTGATTTTGACAGGACTTTCACTGGCAGATAGCTGATGTCATAAGGAATAACTTATTCTGCTTTTATTTTAGAAAAAGAATTAGGGATTCACGCAAAAAAATAAAAACCCTAACACGCGAGCGAAGTCGCGGGGAACAGCTAGTAATAAATACAATTGACTAAAAATAATATAAGTTATATTTTTAACAATTAAAATGTGATAGTAAGCATATAGTTAAAATGATGTACTATACTAAATGCATATTTTGGCTTTAACGCTTCATTAAATTTACATAAAAGCATGCTTAAAATGTGTTCAATCGGAGAGGTCAATCGACGGATTCAAGTCGGTTGGGCGGCGTTCGGGAAATTACGGCACATCTTCTCGTCAGGTTTACCTCAAAACTTGAAAACGAGACTGTACAACCAGGGCGCGTTGCCAGTGATGACCTATGGTACTGAGACGTGGTCCTTCACTGCTAGACTGAAGCTCAAGGTCGCTCAGCGAGCTATCGAGAGTGCTATGCTCGGAGTTTCTCTGCGTGATAAACTTAGAAATGAGGATATCCGTAGTAGAACCAGAGTCACCGACACAGCCCAACGGATTAGTAAGCTGAAGTAGCAATGGGCTGGCCATATAGCTCGAAGAACCGACAGACGATAGGGAAAAAAGTTTCTCGAGTGGCGGCCTCTTACCGGCGAACAAAGTGTAAGGCGTCCACCACTAGATGGAGTGACGACCTGGTAAAATATGCAGGAAGTCGATGGATGCAAGTGGATCAGGACAGTGTTTTGTGGCATTCCTTGGGGGAGGACTATGTTCAGCAGTGGACTTGTGAAGGGCTGTAATGATGATGATGATGATATATTCATATCTCCATCAGTTACATATCATAATATGTGAATTGAAAGCCTGTTAGACAAGTACTTCTATGCTTATATTTCAACTAATTTTTCAAAGCATCAATGTCCAACTATAGAATTAATTCAAACAAATTAATCACCGATGCACATAGTTCAACTTGCAAATTAAATAAAACAATAAACGTAAGGGACAGCCCTACTTCTCATTTAAATAACTTAGACAGTGACAACAAAATGTAAACCAAAGGAGAATTGACTTTTAATTACCTCGGCACAAATAGGGTTATCTAATTTCAGCCTTCTTTTTCACAAAGCAAAATGATTAAACACTATCACAA